TTTATGTACCAATTAAGGGCATTAACATTTTAATTTGTAATAACTGTCCAGCCAATACCAAGTAACTCAACTGGAAATAACACAGTAAGTCCCAGTGCCCCACTCCTCACGTCAGTCAATAAGTGACCAAACTAGAAGCTGTTCCCTACCACACTGCTGTAATGCTGGGCACAGGTGACCACTCTATGATGTTTCTATGCAGACAGCACACTGACCTCCTGAAAGAGTGTCATGTAAGGGAGTAATAATATGGCACCCTTATTAAAAATATTTCAGTCAGAAAGAAACAGCATGGTAGTATATCAATCACTAACAAATATATAACACCTGCTAGAGCTAGAGAGCTCTAGAATCCCTCTCTGTGCACTAAAGGAAAAAGTACAAAGCAATCTCTGTTACAGCAGGGACCAGGCACCATTATGAAGTAATTATGGCAGTACAAAGTATGCTGTAGCAGAAACCATAAGCATGCAGATAAGCTCAAAAAATGAGCAATCAATTTATCTCAGCACCATCACAGCAAAAGTAACATCAAGGTTAATAATATTTCTTAAATACACAGAATAAATTAAATCTAAATTCTAAGCAAAAGTGAGAGACAGCTGACAGGAAGACAAAATTCTGCTCAGGTAATTAAGGATATAGAAAAGTTGTCATACACTGTATTACTATTGTAACATGTTAGAGACTCTCTGGACCCTGTTGAACTTGAGGTCAGCAACAATAAGGTTGAGTGCCTGTGGATCAAAATCAGGGGGAAGACCAACAAGACTGACATCATCACGGGTGTCTGTTACAGACCGCCCTACCAGGATGATGAAGGGATGGAGTATTCTACAAGCAGCCGGCAGATGTCTCAGAATTGTCAGCCCCTTGTCCTTGTAGGGTGACTTTAACCTGCCGGTATCTGCTGGGAGACTCAACTGCAGAGAAGAGGCAGTCTAGGAATTTCCTAGAGTGTATAGAGGACAATTTCCTTCATCAACTGGTAAATGAACCTACCAGGGGTAAGGCCCCGCTAGACCTGCTGTTTACAAACAGAGAGGAGCTGGTGGGAGATATAGTGGTTGAAGGCCGCCTAGGAAATAGTGATCATGAAATAATAGAATTTTCAATACTCAGAGATTCAAGGAGAAATAACAATAAAACCTCTACGCTGGACTTTCGGAGGGCAGATTTTGACCTATTCAGAAGTCTAGTCCAGAGCATACCCTGGGAAACAACCCTTGAAAACAAAGGGAGTCCAGGAGGGATGGATGTGCTTCAAACAGGAAGTTTTGAGTGCACAGGAACAGGCCATACCGGTGTGCCGAAAGGCAAGCCGGCGGGGAAGACAACCAGCCTGGTTAAACAGGGAGATTCTGAAGGAAATCAGGGATAAAAAGAGAGTTTATCGACTATGGAAGAGAGGGGCTGGCTACTTACGAAGAATTCAGGAAGACAGCTAGATCATGCAGAAAAGAAAATCAGGGATACAAAAGCGCAATTTGAAGTTAAATTGGCCACTTCTGTTAGGGATAACAAAAAGTCCTTCTATAAATACATTAATAACAAAAGGAGGAGCAAAGAAAACCTCCATTCTTTGATGGACTCGAGGGAAACATAGTTAATAGAGATGAGGAGAAGGCTGAGGTACTTAACACCTACTTTGCCTCAGTTTTTACCAGTAAGACAGGTGGCCCTCAAGGCAACTGGCCTCTGGAGCTGGTAGACAGAGAGAGGAAACCAAATAGCCCCCTGTATTCCAGGAGGAAATAGTTAGTGACTTACTGAGCCACCTGGATCCTCACAAGTCTATGGGACCAGATGGGATCCATCCTAGGGTAATGAGGGAGCTGGCAGAAGAGCTTGCCAAGCCGCTCTCCATTATCTTCCAACAGTCCTGGCTCACTGGGGAGGTCCCACATGATTGGAAGTTGGCAAATATCACCCCAATCCATAAAAAGGCTGCAAGGCTGACCCTGGTAACTACAGGCCTGTCAGCCTGACCTCGGTGCCTGGCAGAGTTATGGAACAGATCATCCTGTGTGCAATCACACAGCACCTACAAGATGGACAAGGATCAGACCCAGCCAGCACGGGTTTAGGAGAGGCAGATCCTGCTTGACCAACCTGATCTCCTTTACGATCAGGTGACTCACCTGGTGGATGAGGGGAAGGCTGTGGATGTGGTCTATCTGGACTTCAGCAAAGCCTTTGACACTGTCTCCCATAATATACTCCTGGAAAAGCTGGCAGCCCATGGCTTGGACAGGGGCACTCTGTGCTGGGTTAGGAACTGGCTGGAGGGCCGGGCCCAAAGAGTGCTGGTGAACGGGGCTGCATCCAGCTGGCGGCCGGTCACCAGTGGTGTCCCCCAGGGATCAGTGCTGGGCCCAGTCCTGTTTAACATCTTTATCGATGACCTAGATGAGGGGATTGAGTCCATCATCAGCAAATTTGCTGATGACACCAAGTTGGGAGGGAGTGTCAACCTACCAGAAGGCAGGAGGGCTCTGCAGAGGGACCTGGATAGACTGGAGAGATGGGCTGACTCCAATGGGATGAAGTTCAACAAGGCCAAGTGCCGGGTCCTGCACTTTGGCCACAACAACCCCTGCAGCGCTACAGGCTGGGGACAGAGTGGTTGGAGAGCAGCCAGGTGGAAAGGGACCTGGGGGTGCTGATTGACAGGAAGCTGAACATGAGCCAGCAGTGTGCCCAGGTGGCCAAGAAGGCCAATGGCATCCTGGCCTGCATCAAGAACAGTGTGGCCAGCAGGAGCAGGGAAGTGATCCTTCCCCTGTACTCTGCGTTGGTGAGGCCGCACCTTGAGTATTGTGTTCAGCTCTGGGCCCCTCAGTTCAGGAAGGATATTGAGGTGCTGGAGCGGGTCCAGAGAAGAGCAACCAGGTTGGTGAAGGGACTTGAGCACAAGTCCTATGAGGAGAGGCTGAGGGAGCTGGGATTGTTTAGTTTAGAGAAGAGAAGGCTTAGAGGTGACCTCATCACTCTCTTCAACTACCTGAAGGGAAGTTATAGCCAGGTGGGGGTTGGTCTCTTCTCCCAGGCAACCAACAACAGGACAAGGGGACATGGGCTCAAGCTCTGCCAGGGGAAGTTTAGGTTAGATGTTAGGAAGAAATTCTTTACAGAGAGGGTGATCAGGCATTGGAATGGCCTGCCCAGAGAGGTGGTGGATTCACCATCCCTGGAAGTTTTTAAAAAGAGATTAGACATGGCCCTTAGTGCCATGATATAGTAATTAGAGTTGGATCAGGGGTTGGACTTGATGATCTTGGAGGTCTTTTCCAACCCAATCTATTCTATGATTCTATGATTCTATGAAAACAAAAAGGTCATCATAAAGAAGTTCATAACACTACAATTACAGTGTAGACAAAATATTAAATAAATTTATTTTGTCGCAGAAAATAGACCTTTAAGTTAATTTCAGCTTTAGTCGCTGATTAACAATAGGATGACTCACACTTAAAAATACCAGTCAACTACAGAGCTACAGACAGTCCAACATTTTGTGCGGGTACATTATAATGAAGGTTAGAAGAATTGCTTCATGTGAAGAATACTATTCCTTATTAGCAAACTCAATTTTTCAGTTACTCCGATTTTAGCACCTGGGTTCAATTTTCCATGCTGAGTATCTGAATTAGATTTCCCAGAGAGGATTTTAATCTTTACATTTTGGAAACACTTTTTTTCTGAAAATAAGTCTTACCACATTTAAAAAATTACTATAGCTTCCTCTTTGAAAGTAACCATTTACATCCTACAAAAAATCACACTCATGTCGAATTAAATTGCATTTATCATAGAATCATAGAATGACCTGGGTCGGAAGGGACCTTAAAGATCACCTAGTTTCATTCCCTCTGCCACAGGCACCTTTCACTAGACCAGGTTGCTCAAAGCCCCATCTAAATTGGCCTTGAACACTGCCAGGGGCAGCCACAACTTCTCTGAGCAATCTGTTCCAGTGCCTCACCACCCTCACAGTAATGATTAAATGTAAATTCCCTCTCCCTATGCTTTCATGCTCTATTCACAGAATATGCTGAGTTGGAAGGGACCCACAAGGATCATCAAGTCCAATTCTTGGCCCTACACAGGACAGCCACAAGAATCACACCATATGCCTGAGAGTATTGTCCAAAGGCTTCTTGAACTCTGTCAGGCTTGGTGCTGTGACCACTTCCCTGGGGAGCCTGTTCCAGTGCCCAACCACCCTCTGGATGAAAAACTTTTTCCTGATATCCAACCTAAACCTCTCCTGATTCATCTTCATGCTTTTTCCTTAAGTCCTGTCATTGGTGACAAAATAAAGAAATCAATACTTGACCTTCTGCTTCACAATCCTCTAATCACAACTGCCTCCAATGTTCTACAAATATTTCTTCATTCTACTAAAAATTCTTCCACTTTCTGACTTTCCTGGGGCATAAAATTCATAGAAATCACCTACCTCTCTTGAAGGTAGAGAGGGGTGAAAGACTTACTGTAAATAATGATTAAAAAAACTTAATTATGTCGTTGTTTGTGAGGACGACCAAGTAAATAAAACTGGGCATTCTATGATGATGGCCTAAATTCAGCTTTATTGTTTCATCCAGAATATTACATCTTGTTCTTCACACAGCTGCACTCACACACCGTCTTCCATAGAATCTTACATACTAACACTATTCTTAGCTCTATTATCTATATTTACCACTAGCCTTCACGTATGATTGGATGTTCACCCCTTATTTACATTCTTTTCCATGCTGCTAGGCACTGCGGCCTTGCTGCATCCTCCGACATAATTATGTTCTTAACATTTCTTTCCTATGACATGTGTGTGGATATTTAAAGTTATATACTCTACTAAACTGCAATAATCCTGAATTTTCTAAGAGGCTCATATTTAAAGCTTGTTCAATACGACATCTATAACCATTCCTGTCCTCCACTATGATAACGTTTTAATATTATTATATGAAGAGAAAAGTCTTTGTACTTACTCGGAAGTAGTCACTGCAGGCTGCCAGGACCGCTTTGTGTGCATGAAATTTCTGCTCTTCAGCAATAAGTGTAATATCACAAAGTATGCCATCGCTTCTCTGTTGGTTCAGGGCTGCCAGGACAGCATCATTATGGGAGCTGGACTGACAAAGCCTCTGACCTGTCAGCATTTCCTGAACACTGAGAGGGGAAAGAGAAAAGATTCCATCAAAAAATGTAGGAAACAGGTATATTTTGTCAGAAACACAGAACAACTTTTTATAAGGCAAGATTATTTGATAATTCTTGGAAAGAAAAAAAAGTCATGACCCCTGTCAGGCAAAAAAATCTTACTATAGCATAGACATCACAAGAAAAGCTCAGTATAACAAAGTATTATGAAACCTGATTACATACTCAGATTTAAAAACCTCAGTGGTTCTGATTTTGATTTGCTGGAAGTCAGCTGAACTCACATGATTAATTCAGAATCATTTTAGAATTAAATGAGAAGAATAAAGGTCCTAGGTTAAGGGACTGCAGAAAATGTTAAGTGATTCCAATTGATGCATCAGTGGAAAGGAGGATGTACGTATGTATGCAACTAAAAAGAATGAAGGATCGTGGTCTCAGGTGGCCTGTTTAAGACTAATACTGTGCCACTGAATCTTTTCAGACCATTTCAGGTTACTCATATTTATGAAGTGTTGTGGGAGTTTTTTGATTGTCTGGTTTGTGTTGGGGATAGGGGAAAGACGTTTGTTTGGTTTAAAATGCTAAGGCTTTCTCCACCTCCGAATATCCCCATGTATGAATAAAAGATTTGCACATAATCCAGTCTAAGACCGTTTGATGGCAACTTCCTTTTCTGCAGCAGAAGGAAGAGACAATGGAACTGTTGACGTAAATAGAAACAAATCAAACATATTGGTAAATCCCCTTTGGCACCAAATGATGCAATTGATTTGAAATCTGTGAGACTACCAGTTTATATTGCCAGAGAATTTATGTGTTTATAGAGGGTGAATTTAAAAAGAGTCATTTTCATGTAAATCAAAGTGAAGATATAAATTATTTTTTTTCTATTAAAGGGTGAGTAACGTATCAACTTTCCACTACAATGATGTAATTCACTGCATACATACGCTATGCAGCAGCTGTGTTGATGCTATATTCTCCTTTCTTATCCGTACACACTGTCTGCCTATCCCACTCCTGCACCTTGGGTATCTCTAAAACTACTACTACCTGCCTTGCAGACTGTTTGCTCTAATCCAACCTACTTTTAAAAAAAGATGAAAACTAAGACATTACTTATAGAAGAAGGTTGGCCAAAGTGGAATAGCCTGTATCTGAACTTCAGCCCCTCTTTGATAGTTCAGGTTTCATGCATGGACATGCCCTAAATACATTTCAAAATTACTCATTCAAACTATTCTTTTTTCTTCAGCTGTTCTGTTTGTTGAACCCAACTCATATTCTAAGTGACAGTTGTCAAGAAATCTAACTTGCTAAAATACAAGGGAATTATTTCTAACAGTTATTTCTCTTCTGTCATTTCTACAGCAGTGACTAAATCAAAGTAGTGCAAGTATAATATGCTAATTATACCCAGAGATGGCTTCTCTTCATTTCTGTTTTTATTAGCCCTCTCTCCCAGTGCTGTGAACCAAGACCTTCATTCCTCTTGTTTTTTTCACCATCATCCAGAGGACTATTTCACTCAACAGAAAACATATCTGTGGTTTTAAACTGAGCTCTACCATAATCCATTTTTCAATTCAATGCCAAAATGAAAAATCAATTGACTGTAATCCTTGTGCTAAAACACACATGAAACATACACATGCTAGGCAATTTAACTGGAATTTATAAATGAAAATAGACAGAATCATTAAACATAACATGATGACTTTGCAGTGATATTGCCAGTTGACGGATTTAACAGCTAGAAATGCAAGCGAGTCCTGTTTCTCTTCCACTATGCAACAACATGGTATGGGAAAGGAGAATGAAACTGAAATGACATGGTGTTCCAGTAATATCAGGTAGTTCTCTCTGAGGTCCCAGATCAGTGTCAGCTACTCTGTAAAACAGAACCACCAGTATATCACACTACTACAAAGTTCTGCAGAAAAACAATTAAGTTAATAAGTTCTGCAGAGTGTTCTGCCTTAAAGTGTTCCCAGAAAGTAATTACATTATAAATAACAAATACTCTGTTGGGACAATGGGCAACACAAATGAGAAAGACTACACTGGGAAAGCGGCAGAAGGGAAGGCAGAAAGATTAATTTGGAGAAAATGCCTTGAAGACATTTTAAACAACTGGAAGAGTAATAAACATCCTGAAAGTGGAACACTATGCACACCCAAAATTGTCACCAGCCACCAATTCAGATGCATAAATGTAAAAGGTCTGTTGATTCCACAATCAAAAATTCCAAGTATAGACTAAGGCATAAACAAGATAACATATGAAGAGGCTGTGGGTCCCCAATCTTTCCTAGGCACACTTCTCTTTACTAGAGATAAATGTCAACAAGAGAGTAATATTTTGCAGATTATAACATGGATATGTATTTAATAATGTGAATTCCTATCTAACAAACAAAAGTATTAGTTTCACTTTTTTCTACTTTCTTAACTGATTTTGCTTTAGTAAACATCACCTTAAATGTTAATACTTCCTACACACTACCAAGTACTATACCTCAGGCACCTCTCAGATGGCATCTTTCAGTTTTGGTCTTCTGAATATCAAAGCTTATAACCCTGTAGGGAAAGCAGCAAACATTCCAGCTAGAAAGAGAGAACAGAGAGGAAAGTTAAAATTCAAAGTATACACAGCCTTAGCCCTAAAGATCAATACTTTCAGGATATGTAATTCAGAAGCAACTTTCAGACTGTATTCAGTTCTGGCCAATGAAAGTGGCTTTCCTCTAATCTTCTCTAGAAATTCACACCCTACCATCTGAATGTCCTGCACCTATTGCCCTTGAGGCATGCTTTCTACAAACACAGGAACACATATAATTTCAAAAAAGTTGAAGAGAGGTGAGGAGGGAAATAACTGTCCAAAAAATCCCTCAGTGAATAGTAGGCCAAAAGCATGTATCAGGGTTTGCTTACCTCCCTGAATAACATACAGCTATAAAAACATCTGTCACAGGCCTGCCTAGGGTCTCAGAGGTTTGCAATACCATCAAGTTCATGATTTCATTATGTTATGTTTTCCTAAAGACACAGTCTGGTAGGGGAGGGGGGACAGGTTTACTGTATCCCAAAGTCAAAGTCTCACTTTTCTCAGAGCAACATTCTTGACTGATTAATCAGTGTTATGACCAAACACTGTTGTCATCCTGGATGAAGGGCAATGAAACTGGTGAAGGGTATGGAGCACGAGTCTTATGAGGAGCAGCTGAGGGAGCTGTGGTCATTTAGCCTGGAGAAAAGAAAGCTCAGGGTCTATGGTCTATCTGAAAGGAGGTTGTAGCCATGACGGTCAGCCTCTTCTCCCAAGTAACAAAACACAGGACAAGAGGAAGTAGCCTGAAGCTGCACCAGGGGAGGTTTAGATCAGTTATCAGGAAAAATTTCTTCATTGCAAGGGTTGTCAAGCACTGGAACAAGCTGCCCAGGGAAGTGGTTGAGGGGTACATTTGGCACTTAGGGACATGGTTTAGTGGTGGATTGGACAGTGTTGGGTTAATGCTCGATGATCTTAAGGGTCTTCTCCTACCTAAATGATTCTATGATGCTATAAATATTCTGGAAAATACAAACAGTACACTGCAATGAGATTTACAAACTCTATAGCTTTTTTTTAAAAGGCAAAATATTAAATTGGCCATATAAAAAAATCCCGAACAGCTGAAGTGTCCAAAGATCTAAGCTGTTGAAAACAGGGTTATATGGAAAATTTTTAATTGGTGTAGCAGCCATCATAGTTGAAAAGACATTTCACCTTCATATGTCAAGTCTAAAAGAAAAAGTATATTTTCATAGAATTGTCAAAAAAGAAAAGTACACTAGTTTGGCTGCTTATTTAAACCATACATGGATGGTTTAATATAACTCAGTGACAATGAAATGTTACCATTCAGTAAAATTTGAAGAATGGAAACACTTCCATATTTTTCTCCCTTTTCCAAAAAGGCTACAATTCTGAGCAAAGGGGGTGAGGTCATGGAGAACTTACACTGAGGATTCAGCTGGATATCCAGCAAATTGATATGCAGTGCTTCCCAGTGATGGTTTCAGAACATTTCACTCTCACCATCAACTCAGTTTCTCATTCTATTACAATTCACCTTATCCTTCAAGAGGCAGTAAAACACAACATATTAAGTAAGTGGTCCAGGTGCTGTCAACTAATAAAGCAAACACATTTCTGATAAAGGTACCTGCTATTTTATACACCCATATGTCACCTACCTGACATTTCAGTGGTCATAGAAGGCTTCTAAGTTCAACCTTTGCATTCACCAGTACCAAGAGGAGAGACTCAACAGCCGACTTGACTGATATACAGAGAAGTTTTAATTAGGTTCTTAAATGGCTCAAGTCCTTCACCAGAGCTAATAAAGAACTAATATGGGTAAGTATTACTCCACTACAACATCCATATAAATGCCAGCACTGCCTATGCCAGCATAAAGAATTCTCGAGCAAAAATTCCTTATTCCACCAGAGTTGTGAATATGGACATCCAAAATCAAAGGTTTGATCTCTGCTGATTGGAGAGACAGTAACCAGAAGCAACTCACCTCAAGTCTGTGCAGACATACTTATGAGACATTCTGATGAAACATAAAATACATTAAATACAGAGTATTATATATACTAAAACACCTGCATAAGAATAAAAAACATAGCTTAGTGGTTTTCTAGCCACTGTCCAAGTTTAAAGCAATCCACCTTGATGTCACATCTGAACAAAGTAACTTCTTCCAGTCTCAGGGGATCAGAACTTTCAACTTATGAAGAATGAAGGAAAAAACGCCCTTCTTCTCCTAGGAACTCAAGTTTCAGAACAGGAAATATGCCTCTCAGATGCCTTCAAACAGCTTGATCTTAAGGGTCTTCTCCTACCTAAATTTCAAGGGGGCTTTCATCAAGGTTTGCAAGAGAGATCTAAGATATACAGCCTTTGTTTTTTTCTCCCCACTTGTTGGACTTGTCTTCATGCCACACTGCAAGCACATCCAGAGGCACCTCAAAACACAGGCCTTAGTGGGCCCTTGACTGCACACAGGCCACTAAGGACTTTATTTCTGGCCCTCTCACGATCCAGGGCCAGCACTACCAGAAATACAGAGCCATTGATGCCATTTGTCCCCTCATAATGAAAACAGTTTAACCGTGAAAAGCTGCAACACAAAATTTTAACTATGTTTCAGCTCACTGAGATCCAGATAGCTATTATAGGCAAATCTTCACTGCTACTAGATGCAGTCTTTTCTCTTCTGATGATCCACACTTGTATCAAGAACCCTTGGGGATATCTTCAAGCAGATACTGCTTTGCTCCCCTCAACGAAGCCCCTGCTGCTTCAGACCCACTTGCAGGAAAAGCGGTTTGGCTCCCTGGGGAGATCTCTGCTATTCACCTCATTTGGGAACTGCAGAGTCCTTTATGCTGCTACCACTTGAAGAGGCTTTCACCTAGTTCATCACTAGTAAGGTTGATGATCTTCTGTTTGCTCTGCCTTTAAACTCCTCTAGGGTGTGAAAAGCCCTCTAATTTCTCCTTTGATTTTTTACGATAGCCATGCATTTATCTATTTCCACATTGCTTAAAACAGTACTGCTTATTAAAAAGCTATTTCAAATAATCAATTTTAACTCAAACCATCCAGGCAAACCCTGAGCATTTAAGTAAAGACTTTAATCTCATTTTGCATATATAGCTTTTATTTATCTTCCTAAACTGAAGCTGTTTCCCTTGTCAGCAACCATACAAAATGGGTGATTTGTAAAACTTGGTATTAAATGTGATTTTTTTGGTTTCTATGAGAACAGATAATGTATCTTTCCAGCTAGCAATACTTCATTTGGATATACTTATTAATATTCTTAATTATGTTGGAAAGTTATGTTGGAAAATGGTGAATCAACACTACTTACATTACATTTGCTGTGTGCCAAACTAGCTTAGATAAAAATCTGTGAAAATTCACGTACTCAAGAACTGGTTAAAATGACTACAAATACTGAATATATAAATAATTTTGAAGAGATTTTTGCATTTTCAAGTAGTTATCTTCTTTCCCTCAAGTCACTCCTTTTCTAAATGTGTATTTTAAGTACTGAAAAACACTTCCACTTAAATCCAGACCACTTCAAGTTAGATATATATGCAAACTGAAGGGACCACAAGATCTTTCCTGTAAAAAAGCAAAATTTGGATCAACTGGTTAAATCATGAAGATAAAGCATTTGTATGCAGTGAAATGGTATTTTCCCTTTGACAGCTTCAAATATCTGTTTTAACTTTTTTTTTTTTTTAAGGAAATGCAACATATAAAAACTATCAGAAGTACACTACATTAATTTTATGTCAGAATTATATCATAGCACATCCTGATGGAGGCTGTCATGGATACAGAATAAGACTATTAAGACTTACCCATGGCAATTTTCTATTCAAGATTAGAGCCTTATTCATAAGAGTTTCTGGTTTTGTCTGTGGTTTTAGTAAGTCAAAATAAACCATCCTTTCAAGCTGTACTTTACCTTCTCTCAGAGTAAGAGTCTCTTCAGAAACAAAACTATGAGCTTACTATTCACAGAGAAAAAAAAAAAAGGACAGCATTATCTCCTATCTTTTTAATCACAGCTCTGCCAAATGAATTTGTCAAAGGGAAAACACTTGGAAACAGCTTTGAAAAAGATTGATTGCAAACCTGCCCTTCTGAGTATATTAACACACTTCTCCCCCATGACAGGGAGACATTATGCTTTCCTTTTTCATTGAGATCCTTGAGAGCTGAAATATTTTTCTCTTTCCAAAAAAAATGTTCAAGAATGTCACGACTGTGAGGAAAAATCTGTCATTGCCCACTGTTGTCAGTTAAACCATAGTTCAGCTCAATCACAAGTTGCTCATCTAATGTAGTCCCTCAATATCGTGACTTTCAAGAGAAAGTATTCACAGTACTGAAAAAACCCCTTAGATTTAATGACAATTACAATACTAAGAGAATAAAAAACCTGAAAACCTGGATTTGTTTGGGAAAACAGGATTTGGTAAAAGCAGTCAGAAAACAAAATTAGCAAAACAATAAAATAAAATAAAACTTTTACAGCCTTCTGATTAATAACAAACTATTTTCTTATGAGACTGGAAAGGTTATTGCTATCTTCAGGCCATCAGCTACAGACATTAAGAATAATGAAGTCTATTTTCTATTACTACCAAATTACTACCTGACTTCATAGAAGAAGTCTTCATTAAGATCTTAAACCACAGAAATATAAAATGAAACCACAGGCTGTACAAGCAGAAACACATTTTATGTCTTTATATCCTCTCTGTGGCTTTACATCTACTACATATCTCAATATATCAGCATTCTGAACATTTTTTTTCAAAGAGGCATTCAGATAAAATAAAAATCCAGGTTCATGGTCATCTGTGTAACTTAAGGCATATTTCACCTCAACTACCACCTGAGCAAGAAGTTGTTGCATTCTAGTGATAAAACCACATATAATCATGTAACTGAACTGGGAACCACACAGTTAGACTTTGATGACTTTCAAGAACACGTTTACTTCCAGAATGTGTGTATACTCTTT